AGAGGTCAGTTTTCCAGCAATTCAGACGTCAATTTGCACCAAGAGAATGCAGAGTCCCGGCAACACTTCCAATCCTGGTTTCGGATACTCCTTGCCCTTAGTGCAACTTAACATAGTTAACATAGTCACTTTTTCTAGAATTTTACAAGTCCACAAATTTCTCTCTCCCAAGAAGAAAAACCAGGAACGAAGCATAAAAGGCCTGTAATACCCTTTATCATGATGAAAAACACTAAACAAGGAACAGAAGAAAACCTTCTCAACCTGATAAAGGACATCTATGAAAAACCCACAGCTAACATCATACTCAATGGTGAAAGACTGAAAGCTTTCCTCCTCGTATCAAGAACAAGACAAGGATGTCTGCTCTCACCACTTCTATTCAACATAAATTCTATTCAACATGAAGTTCTAGTCACCACAACTAAGCAAGAAAAAAAATAAAAGGCATCCATAAAGGAGAAGTAGTAAAACTTTCTCTATTTGCACATGACACGATCTTGTTTGTAAAAAAATACCAAGGAATCCAGTAAGAAGCTACTAGAATCAATAAATGGGTCCTGCAGAGTTACAGGATACAAAATCAATACACAAAAATCAATTGTGTTCTATACACCAGTAATAAACTATCCAAAAATGAAATTGGGAAAACAACCGCATTTGCATCAGAAAGAATAAAACACTTAGGAATAAAAAAAATTTTTTTTAAGAAGAAGAGAGCACAAGCAGAGGGAGCAGGAGAGGGAGAGGGAGAAGCAGGCTCCCCACCAAGAAGGGAGCCCCAAAGCAGAACTCAATCCCAGGACTCGGGGATCATGGCTGGAACCAAAGGCAGACACTTAACCGACTAAGCCACCCAGGTGCCCAGAAATAAAATTTTTTAAGACTTATTTTTTAATTTTAATTTTTAAAAGATTTTTATTTATTTATTGAGAGAGAGAGCGTGAATGCGCCGGGGTAGGGAGAGGGAGACAGAGAATCCTCAAGCAGACTCCCTGTTGAGTGCAGAGCCCAATGCAGGGCTCAACCCCAGGACCTGAGCTGAAACCAAGAGTTGGCCGCTTAACCAACTGAGACACCCAGCACGCCTACTTAGGAATAAATTAAACCAAGGAGGTGAAAGACTTGTACACTGGAAACTACAAAAACACGGCTGAAAGATGGGTTTTAAAAGACCTTAACAAATGGAAAAACATCCCATGTTCATAGATCGGAAGACTTAGTGTTAAGATAGCAATACTTCCCAAACAGATGTACCAGTCCAATGCAATTCCTAAGAAAATAACAGCCACCCTTTGTGCAGAAATTGGTGAACTGATCCTAAAACTCATAAGGAATCTCAAGGGACCTCAAATAGCCAAAACCATCTTGAAAAAGAAGAACAAAGTTGGAGGACTCACACTTGCTAATTCCAAAACTTTACTACAAATCTACAGTAATCAAGATGGTGTGGGTACTGGTCTAAGGATAGACATATAACCAATGCAAAGAAGACAGAGAACCTAGAAATAAACCTTCATACAATTGACTTTTGACAAAGGCATCAAGCCAATTCAATGGGGAAAGAATGTTCTTTTCAATAAACAGTGCTGGCACTAAAGGATACCCATATGCAAAATAATAAAGTTGGACTCTTACCTTCCGCCCCACATACAAAAATTAACTCAAAATGATCACAGGCAGAATCTTCATGACATCAGATTAAGCAATGGTTTCTTAGCCATGATAGCAAAAGCACAAGTAACCAACGAAAAAGTAATGGACCTCACCAAAATTAAAATTGTTCGTGCTTCAAATGACACTAAAAAGAAAGTGAAAAGACCACCCACAGAATGGGAATAAAAATCTGTAAATCATGTATCTGACAAGGGTCTAGTATCCAGAATATGTAAAGAACTCTACAACTCAACAATAAAAAGAAAAAGAACCCCAACTGGGCAAAGGATTTGAATAGACAATCCTCCAAAGAAAATATACACATGAAAAAAGCTCATATTATTACTCATTAGGGAAATGCAAATCAAAACCACAATGATAGCTACTTCATACCAGTAGGACAGCTATAAAAAAAAAAAAAAACACGAAAACAAAAACAAAAAAATAACAAGTGTTGGTGAGAAACTGGAACTCTCCTCATACATCGTTGGAAGAATGTAAAATGCTGCTGTGATAAACAGTCAACGGTTCCTCAAAAAGTTAAACTAGAATTACCATATGACTTAGCAATTCCTCTCCCAGGTATTTACCCAAGAGAACTGAAAACATATAGCCACACAAAAACTTGTATGCAGATGTTCATAGCAGCATTATTCATTATATCAAGGGGAAACAACCCAAATGTCCATAATCAAAATGTGGTATATCCATGCAGTCGAGTATTATTTAGCCATTAAAAAGGAAAGACGTACTGACCCACACTAAAACATGAATGAGTTGTGAAAATATGTGCTAGGAAAGTCAGACAAAAAAGGCCACACGTTCCAAGTCCACTTCTAAAACAGGCAAATCTTCAGAGACAGAAAGTAGGTATTTGTGACTGCCAGGGGCTGAGGGAGAAGCAGGAGTGGGGAATGGGCAGAGTGTGGGGTTTCTTGTTGAGATGATGGAAACATTCTGAAATTAGATACTGGGGACGGTTACACGACTTTGTGAACATACCAAAAACCACCGAATTACATTCTGTAAAAGGGTGAATTTCATGATATGTTAATATCTCAATTTAAAAAACTGATGAGGAAAAAAGTCTTTAAGGAACCGAAATACAGCTCACAAAGGTCACAGAGTAAAGCCATACATTTTCCTTTTAAAAAAAAAAAAAAAACTGAATCGCAACTGAAATTTATTTATTCTCACTTTACATATAACTTGTACAGACCTCAAAGCCACAGTGTATTAAAAACTTCCTATTATGGGTAATAAAACTGATAGACAAACATACTGAGAGGAAGGTTAAAAACAATGGCTAAAGAACTTGAAAGCAATAGTCTGGGGCCACTTATTAAGGCTAAATTGGTCTACGTACTTCATTATGATCTGGCAGTCTCACTAATACACAGTGTATGTTTACAGTAAAGAAAATGAGGATGACGATTAAAATTAGAGCTAGCCCACTTATTACTTTCATTGTGCCAATCACCACTCTAAGTACTGAACATTTACTCACTCATTTAATAACTCCCAACAACCCTACAAAGAAAGTACTACTGTTAGCTCATTTTACAGATGCAGAAACAGGGATCACAGAGCTAAGTGGCAAAATTAAGATCCAAACGCAGGCTTCAGAGTCCATTCTCTTAACCAGTACACCATACTGTCCCTCAGGGATGAACAATCCATCGGAAAAAAAAAAATGTTAAATAATGTTCAGTATGCTCTAAAACTGGAAAATCTACATTTTTATTTCACTATAAAAGTGCTCTTTACCAACAACAACAACAACAACTCTTCTATAGAAGCCTATTATGCATGGGGGAATGTCTAGAGGTAAGAGAACACTTACATCCTGACTCCCATCTGTAGTCACAGCTCCCTTGTCTTTCCCAATTCTAGCCAAACCAGACTGCTCATGTTCCTTCAACATACAGAGCCTGCACAAGTTCACGCACCTGTGGTAAAGGCCTTTTTTTCACTTCTCTGATTAGAAAATTTCTACTCGCCTTCTACAGCCTAGCTCACATCACACTTCCTTTGTGCCACATGCCCTGACACCACAAGGCAAACCTGTGTTCACGTAGCCTTTTGTACCTCTCTCTCTATTAAAGCATCTACCTCAGTACATCATAATTAGAAGCTTCACTCCCCTTTTCACCTCCTACAGTTAGAACCTAGTCTGCTGTAGATGCTAAGTTAAATTTTTAAATTAAAGTAAATAAAGTAAAACTATTTTTTAAAAATTCAGCAATACAAAACCACCAATTAGCTACAATCCACAGAGTCAGGTTTTATCTTAACAAAAGTCATAAAATTTGAATATCTAAAAAGAATAAAGTTCATTTTCATATAAACTAGAAGTTACAAAGGTTCCTACAGATTGAATTCAGTCACCAGAAATCTTTTTAATGAGAAAAGACTGATACTCTGGACCAAACCTGAGTAATCTGTCGTACTTAACTTAGGAATAATGATGTGGGTAAAATTTTAACAAAGAGATGAGGGTTTCCAGAATCTAAGTCAACAGAGTCAAAGGAGTGGTAGGTAGGCTATAAGGATACCATTTAGTAAGTTAGTGCCTGAGTAATACATGCTTACTTAATGCCCTCAAAAATTACTGTTCTTCCTAATTCATGTCACTCCTTGAGAGTTAATTTACTACCTACAAAGTTCTAGTGGAATTTACATTTTATTACTTGTCCTAGATGAGTTAATATTTCCAACTGGACCAAACCAAATGTAACTATACCTACAATCAACCCATTTCTCTCCCAGTATATAATTCATATTAGCCAAACTAGTAACATATGGGATACCCAATACAGTAATAAATATAAAAGAATACATAGGAGTCCGTCAAATACTTACTGAATTAACTACATTTGTCACTATCTATTCTACTGGAAAAGTTATCTATAAAAGAAATGTCATTTCACTTTTGATTTAAAAAAAAAAAGGGGGGTTACCTATTATTATCCCATACGTCTGACTTCCCTAAATAAGCTACAGCTCTGGCAAAATCTGCCCTCTTATTGTTGACTCCCAGCCTCAGCTTTACCTCGACTTTCCTTCAAACTCTCATCTACCCCCCCTATTACTTTCATGATCTTCGGGGTCCCTAACGGACCTATGCCTCCAACTCGTCTTCACGACTAAAAGGCACTGACTTTTCAGAGGGGGGTTCAACATCCTCCAAGGCAACGTTTGATATAAAACCCACCTTTAAATCAAGTGTCAACTTTGCATTTTCGTTGACCTAAAAATTCAAACCAAGTCACAGCTACTTCTAAGTGTTACCCATTTAGGCAGTCACAGACCTGAATAAATATTTGTGTAGTATTTACCATTACCTAGGCTGAGAATTCTCCTCATACATTCTTTCTTTCCCCTCCTTGAAGAGGCTTATGGTCTGCTTAGTTTTCTTCATCAAATTCTCCATGAACACCCTAAAATACTCATTTTCTCCAAGTGTCTCCATCTTCCCCTCATATCTTGACAAGATAGTGCGGAGATGCTGGTAGGTATCTGGCAGCAGGTCTAAGATATAAGGTGGGCTATTCTTTAGCGCCAGCTTTGGGTTCTGACACAATCGCACCACCTGCAACAAATGGAAAAGAAGGGCTATTACTTGGAGGATCTTAAGGATAATTTCCTTTTTCAATTTAAAAAAAAGTAATAAAATATGTGCTCTGTTGCAGAAATATTAAAAAATGCACGTCGAAGACCATAAGAAATGATCCATAACACCCCTGCCCATGGGCAATTAGTTTGCATTTTTAGTGGTTCCCCTAGGAGGGTGGGTTCTTAAAACCATATGAGAGACTAATGGTCCAGAAATTACATAGCAGACAAGGGGGGCCTGGCTGGCTCAGTCAGTGGAGTGTGCGACTCTTGATCTTGTGGTTGTGAGTTTGAGCCCCACAATGAGTGCAGAGAGGACGTAAAAATAAATCTTAAAAAAAAGAAAAGAAATTACATAGCAGACTAAACACTGCAGGGGGGAGGAAGACATTGCACCAACGCCTAAAAGGTGCTAGATGAACTAGGACAAGTTCATTTTAAATGCATGGCTCACCCGACAACATAATAAAAAAAATTCCCAAGGATAGACATAAAGAACATGGCTGGGGTGCCTGGGTGGCTCAGTCATTAAGTGTCTGCCTTCAGCTCAGGTCATGATCCCAGGGGCCTGGGATGGAGCCCCACATCGGGCTCCCTGCTCCACGGGAAACCTGCTTCACCCTCTCCCTCTCCCTCTCCCCCTGCTTGTGTTCCCTCTCTTGCTGTGTCTCTGGCAAATAAATAAATAAAAATTAAAAAAAAAAAAAAAAAAGAACATTGCTGCCCTGGGAAGTAATGTAGAGCCCAGAGTTATAACAGCCACTAGGGTCTGGGAGCAGAGGGGCCTTGAACCCCATGGAGCTCAACTGAGATACCATTCCTTGCCATATAAAGGACCTCCAGCCCCCACGCTGGGTGTAGAGAATGCTTAAAAAAAAAAAGACCTCCAGAATTTGCCTAATAATTCTTTTTCCCATATTTTACATTCACCTTCTGAGTTCTTATGTTTTATGTAGGTTTCTTTTAAAGAACATGTAGCAGTATTTTTTTTTTAAAGATTTTATTTATTTGAGAGAGAGAGTGAGAGCGAGCGAGCACATGAGAGGGGGGAGGGTCAGAGGGAGCAGACTCCCTGATGAGCAGGGAGCCCGATGCGGGACTCAATCCCAGGACTCCAGGGTCATGACCTGAGCCGAAGGCAGTCGCCCAACCAACTGAGCCACCCAGGCGCCCTGTAGCAGTATTTTTAAAACCCAATGTAACAGTCTTCATTTTTAAACTAGTGAGTTTAGTACATTTTATATCTGTTAATAATGACTAATAAATTTGTATTTATTCCTACCATCTTATTTTGTATTTTCCACTTACATGGATTTTTCTGTGTCTGGGAAAGAGAAATAAATTAGTGGAAGGGAAAAGTCTAGAAAGAGACCCACACGTATATAGGCCCTTCACTTAACACAAAGGAGTGGTCTTCTCCAAAAATAGTAGTGGAACAATTGGGTATCCATATAGAAAAAATAAACTAAGCCCTCACCTTACACTATACCAAAATACAAAACACCATACATACACACACACACACACACACACACACACACACACACACACACACACAACAACCAAAAAAGTAGACCTTGGGTTATAGAGCTAAATGTGAAAGGCAGATCTGTAAAGCTTTACAAGATAATATAAGAAAATTATCTTCACTGTAGAGAAAATTTTCTTAAACAGGACTATAAAAAGTATTAACCACACACATAAAAAAGTTAATTAAAATTCTACTTTATAAAAACTTGTTTATCAAGATACCCTATAAAGAGTAAAAACATGTAGAGAATCAAAGAATGTATCTGTAATACATACATATATCCAGAACATACATGCATACTTCAGAGGTATCGCAGGTTCGATTCCAGACCACCACGATAAAGCACTTCTCTCAACAAAGTGAATCAAATGAGTATTTTGGCTTCCCAGTGCATATAAAAGTTAAGTTTATACTATACTGTAATCTATTAAGTATACAATAGTAGTAGGTCCTAAAAAAATGTACATACCTTAATTAAAAAATACTTTATTGTTACAAAACGCTAAGCATCACCTAAGCTTTTAGTGAGTTGTAACTTTTTTTGCGGTGGAGGGTCCCGCCTCAATGTCCATGGCTGTTCACTCATCGGGGTGGAGGCTGTTGAAGGCTGAGGTGGCTGTGGCAAGTTCTTAAAATAAGACAAGAGTGAAGTCTGCTGCCTCGACTGACTCTTCCTTCCATGAGTGAGTTCTCTATAGCGTGTGGTGCTATTTGATAGCATTATACCCACAGCAGAAAGTCTTTCAAAATCTTTCAATCCTCTCAAAGCCTGCCACAGCTTTATTAATTATGTAGTATTCTAAGTCTTTTGTCGTCACTTCAACAATCTTCATAGCACCTTCCCTAGAAGTAGATTTCATCTCAAGAAACCACTTTCTTTGCTCGTCTGTAAGAAGCAACCCTTCATCCGTTCAAGTTTTATCATGAGACTGTAGCAACTCAGTCCCATCTTCAGGCTCCACTTGATTGTAGTTCTCTTGCTGTTTCCACCACATCTGCAGGTACTTCCTCTGCTATAGTCTTGAACCCCTCAAAGTCATACACGAAGGTTGTAATCAAATTCTTCCCAACTCCTGTTAATGTTGGTATTTTGAGCTCTTCTCATGAATCACGAATGTTCTTAATGGCATCCTTTCTAGAGGTTTTCAATTAATGTTGCCTAGCTCCATAGAGGAATACGCTATCCACGGCAGCTACAGCCTTATGAAATGTATTTCTTGAATAAGACTTGAAAGTCGTAATGACTCCTTAATCCATGGGCTGCAGAATGGATGCTTGTTAGCAGACATGAAAACACTCATCTCATTCTACATCTCCATCAGAGCTCTTGGGTGACTAGGTACAATGTCAATGAGCAGTAATATTTTGAAATAAATTTTCTGAGCAGGAAGTCTCAACAGTGGGCTTAAAATATTCAGTAAACCATGCTGTAAATAGCTGTGCTATCAATCAGGCTTTGTTGTTCCATTTACAGAGCAAAGGTCGAGTAGGTTTAGCATAATTCTTAAGGGCCCTAGGATTTTGGAGTGGTAAATGAGTACTGGCTTCAAGTTAAAGTCACCAGCTGCATGAGCCCCTAACAAGAGAGTCAGACTAAACTTTGAAGCCAGGCTTTGATTTATCTCTAGATATGGAAGTCCTAGATGGCATCTTCGTCCAATAGAAGGCTGTGCAGTCTACACTGAAATAGCTGTTGTTTCGTGGAGCCACCTCCACTATCTGAGCTAGATCTTCTGGAGAACTTGCTGCAGCTTCTACATCAGCACTCGCTGCTTCAACCTGCGCTTCTATGTTATGGAGACGGCTTCTCGCCTTAAACCTCATGAACCCGCCCCTGCTAGCTTCACGCTTTTCTTCTGCAGCTTCCCCCCACCTCTCTCAGCCTTCACAGAATTGAAGAGAGCCAGGGCCTTGCTCTGGATTAGGCTTTGACTTAAGGGACCGTTGGGGCTAATTTGATCTTCTATCCAGACCACTCAAACTTTCTCCGCCTGGGCAGTAAATGTTTCACTTTATCTTTCATGTATTCACTGGGGTAGCTAGCACTTTTAACTTACTTCAAGAACTTTTTCTTTGCACTCAACTTGGCTAACTGGTGCAAGAGGTGTAGCTTTCAGCCTGTCTCAGCTTTAGAGGTGCCTTCCTCGCTAAGCTTAATCATTTCTAGCTTTTGATTTAAAGTGAGAGATGTGCAATTCTTCCTTTCACTTGAATACGTAGAGGCCAATATAGGAGTATTAATTGTCCTAATTTCAATATTGTTGTGTCTCAGGAAATAAGAGAGGCCAAACGAGAGGGAGAGAGATGGGGAAGAGCTGGTCAGTAGTCAGAACACAGAACATTTATCAATTAAGTTTGCCATTTCAGGGGCTCAGTCATTAAGCGTCTGCCTTCGGCTCAGGTCATGATCCCAGGGTCCTGAGATTGAGTCCCGCATCGGGCTCCCTGCTCAGCTGGAAGCCTGCTTCTCCCTCTCCCACTCCCCCTGCTTGTGTTCCTGCTCTCACTGTGTCTCTCCCTCTGTAGAATAAATAAATAAAATCTTAAAAAAAAAAAAAGTCTGCCATTTCAGGGGTGCCTGGCTGGCTCAGTCAGTAGAGCATACAACTTTTTTTTTTAAGCATACAACTCTTGATCTTGGGGTCTTGAGTTCAAGCCCCACAGTGGGTGTAGAGCTCAATTAAAAAAAAAAAAAAGTTCACCATTTCTCACGGGTGTGGTTCGTGGCGCCCTAAAACAGTTAGAATAGTAATATCAAAGATTACTGATCACTGTAACAAACATAAATGAGAAAGTTTGAAATATTGGAAGAATTTACCATATGGCACAAAGTGAGCAAATGCTGTTGGAAAAATGGAGTGGTGAGACTTGCTTGAATTTGTAAAGAGGCTTGCTTCAATTTGTAAAAAATGCAATATGTGCAAAGCACAATAAAATGAGGTATGCCTGTAATTGCTTCTGTGCCATTTACTTTCTTCTCTCCTTCTGGAACTTCAATGACCTAATCCATAAGAACTTTTCACCATGTTCCATGTTTTTGACACTCTTTTCTGTCTTCTCCATCCTTTGCCTCTCTCAGTGGCTTAGTCTGGATTTATCCCCTAATTTATCTTTCACTTCACTAATTTTCTCTTCGGCTATATCTATGCTGGTAAACCCATTCACGGGGTTCTTAATAATCAGCTGTGTTTTTCAGTTTCAGAATTTCTATTTATTTCAAATGTCAACATTTTGTCTTTAGCTCCTCTAACACATTAATCATACATTTTTTAAGTCCATGACTGATAATTCAAGTATCTCTGCCTGTCCTATGGGCTTCTATTGTCAATTTTTCCTCTCAGTTTCCAGGTGCGTTTAGTCTTTTCACATGCCTGGTTATTTTTTTATTGAATGTTGGACACTCTATATAAGAAATTATAGACACAATCTGAGACCATGGATGATGT